TGTATATGCTCAGTGAGCAAAGTAAAACCTGCGCAGTTAACTTTTATGTAGGCCGTTTGGGGGCGCGTTTGATGAATTGGTTTTCCTGAATTGGCTTACCACAAGGATGTTGTTTTCCATTTATTTCGCTGTTAGAACTTCTAAATCAACTGCATCATGTGCTTAAAGGTTTTTTCCTTTTAATCGCTTCACTTTTCATGGTTTCACATGCCAATTTCTCTTCATTGTTTCGCATTTCCTTCCAAGATTATTCCCTGCTTTCTTTGAGTGCGAAATCTCAATTGAGGTTCCCAAAAAACATTTATTAATTGTTTTGTTAACAATAATTTACTCTGGAAGCTATTTTTTCTTGAGATTATGGAATAATAGTGATTACGTCCGGTTTTTTACCTTTTGGTCAGCACGGAACTTTTCCTCGGACATCTAATACTAACTGAACCTTTGAATCTTTTATCTGTAAGTACACTATTCAATTTGTTATTCTTCTTCTGCTTCTCTAGCCAACCTTGTATCCCATAGTCTGCGACAGTTCTGAAGTAAAATGACTGGTATACTTCTCTTCTCTGTTTGCTAAACGATGGATCGACGAATTTGTAACAGTGACATAAGCGCTTTGGAGAAGAATTGTGATGTGCTAAAAACGAAGGTTAGATGTTTTACTCTCTTCTATCGCTTTGTGACTTGATTTTCGTCACTTATTTTTTTGTCCTAGATTGCTAACTTTCGCCTAATAAGTGACGTTCTGCAAGACAAGACGTATCAGCTGTTAAACATCATTCGGAAAAAGGAGGACTTTTTTGGTATATTCACTCGTGAATACGATGAGGTTTCGAATGACATCAATTCCGTCCAAGCAGTTATTGAAATGTACTCCACTGAGTTAGAAGAACTTGAAACCGCAATCGAGGAATGTAAGCGTGATGACGGTGCGGCAGATGCTCCTCGGGATAAAAGCGACCAAACTCAACCTCCTAATGACAACCTCACTGTCTTAACTCCTCCACAACGTCGGCTACCAATCCACAAGTGTCAGCTAAGGGCCCACCTCCCAGACAACCAGTTTACGGTAGTCGAGGTGCGTCCGGGACAGACGATACGTCAGGTGTTGGAGAAGAAGCTTTCCCATCGGTGCTACCGTACTGAGGACCTCTCTGTCTACAGTGTAGGGTCAGGGAATCTTGTGTTGTGGGATGACGACGCAGCTGGTGTAGCTCTGATTTCAGGAGATTTGGTTGTAGAGTTTAACGATGAGCAAACGCATCGACGTCCAAAGCATGAATTTCAGCGCAGAAGGTTCTTCGAGACTCAAATCTGCAGCATCTGCCAGAAGTTTGTATTCTTTGGGATTACTTGTAAAATTTGTGGCTTGGCGTTTCATCAAAGGTGTGTTTCGCGGTTAGAGAAGCATTACCTGCAACCCACTGAAGAGGATAATTTCATTGAGATTCAAAGACTGTAAGTATTCTGTTAACGATATGTTTTACCTAACTCTGAAGTACACATTTTGACTAGCCCCATTTTGCTTTATCTTTTCATTGCTATTTAAATCATTTGAATTTGGTTTTGTTTCGTTTTGATGAATTCTTTAAGGAAAGCTCTTCCACATATGCAGCTCCGTAGA